AGTCTACCCAGACTAACACAACTATGGAATACAACTCAATGTAAACAAAACCAAAACCCTCACATGTCCAACAGACAACAACAAGATAAACAGAGAAAAGATTGAAGCTGTCAAAGATATAATCTTTCTTGGATCTATAATCATGAGAGTGGCAGCAGAGAAATCCAATGATGCATTGCATTGGGAAACTACGCTGTAAAAGACCTCTCTAAAGTGTGGGAAAAAACAAGGCTGTCTCCTGGAAGACTGAGATACACCTGATACATGCTACGGTGTTCTTAATTGCCTCATATACATATGAAGATTGGACAGTGAATTAGAAAGACCAAAGAAGGATTGATGCATTTGAACTCTGGCATTGATGAAGAACATTGTAATTACCATGGGCTGCCAAATGAACAAATAAATCTGTCTTGGAAGAAGTAGTCAGAATGCTCCTTGGAAGCCAGGATATTGAGACTTTGTCTCACATACTTTGGACAAGTTATCAGGAAAGACCAGTCCTTGGAAAAGAACATGATGCTTGGTAAAAGAAGATGCTCAAGAAGTTGGGTTGACACAATGGCAGCAACAACAGACTCAAACATAATAACAATTGTGAGGATGGTGTGGCACCAAACAGTGTTTCATTCTGTTACACATGGACTTTGAGACCAACCCAACATCACCCAGCAACCACAACATTAAAACAAAAGAAGGTTTCTAATTATACAAGAGGGCTTCAAAGAGCTTGTAGGAAAAATAATTAAAAGATAATTATTCCCAAAAAAAGGTAATTATTCCACGAACTTTTTGCAGTTCTTTCATATCAAGAAAAATGAACGAAGGAAACACAGCTCTCCTTTTGTTTATTATTTCACTCTAATAGTTTTAAAGACCCCAAACTCGGACTTTTGCAGCACTGGCCTAGGACAGGATCCAAACAGGTGAGGCAGCAAACCCACAGGCTCTTGGGTTTACTCTGGTGAACAACCGGGGCTGTGGAGCCTCTCTGCTTCTGCAGCTCCGGTGAACAGAACAATGGGCAGTGCAGAGCATGCTGCAATCCTGCTGCCACCATCAGTCCCTCTGGTCTCCACCAGCAACTCCAGCAGTAACAACGAAGACAACTGGCGGCCAGCTCCCATCAGTTTTACTATAGTGTTTGCACAATATCTAAATCACATAATGTCCTATTTCAAAAACTATGTCATGGATGTTAAATAATGTACACACGCTTAGAAGAAACCCAGAGAAAATCTTATTTGCTTACTCCAACAAAAGAAATGGCTAGATCTAGTTTATTTTTCAGTTGTTGAACGTCAACATGGCAAAAGGGAAGGGGGTGACCTTCTTCAAGGGCTCAGAGCTGCTCAGATCTCTCAGCATTCGCAGATGGACACTAATCCTCCTACTACCTCTAGAACTGGCAGATAAACTGATAAATGGATAAGACCTTACTGTGAAGCAACTGGACACTATATTTCAAAAGTCTTGAAAAATGTTCATACACTTTGACTCAACAACTCACTTCTTAAGGAAATAATCAGAGCTGCTCGTAGACCAGCCAGAATAGATTCTAGAATTATTATTTATGCTAACAAGTTGAGGAAAACAATGTCTATCCGCCAGAAAATGGAAATAGAAATTTTGGCTGAGTCACAGATTAGGCAGCAATTGAACTCACCATTTTGGACAATCTTCAGTGGCATGTGAGCAAGAAGACAGAGCTGTGGTATCGATTGGGTTTGGTGGGTTATGAGGGAAGAGAGAAGCAACATCTGGCCACTTACAGTTGAGGATTAAAGCACCAAAGATGTAAACCAGAGCCAGCCCCGCAGAGACCCCGACTCCGATGTAGACAGCTGTGCGAGCGGTCACTCCAGCGTCTGGTAACTCGTAAAGCAGTGGGGACCTTTGCTGTATAAACACAAACAGAATTGAAGCAGCAAGTGGCCAAATATCAACTGTGTCCTTAGCAGGTATTATGCCACGGGGATGGGGCCATCCTGTTCACAGCACCTCAGAGAAATCTCAGAGATGTTGAAACCACCATTAATCAGCTCCCTTTTAGACAAACCTTAAACCGTCTGAAAGAGATTAGCCTCTTGAAGTTAATAAGGAAATAAAATGGGCCCTTCTGTGTTGTGGAAAGAGGAAGAGTTCCCTGTAAATGAACCACAACATTCCATCACCCACAACCTCTGTGACAAAAATGGGTTCTAGCATAGAGGAGAACTCATTTCAGAGTCCCTGAAAGGCTCAAGGTGGTCAGAATTCAGTCTCTTGGGGCAAAATCCCTATTTTCTCAGGCTATTCTAGGTTCAAATCCCAGCTCTGACTTTGTAAAGTTGTTGTGAAAATTAAGTGGGAAAAAATATAAAGTGCTTAGCACGGAGCCTTGTTTGTGGTAGATCATAGGGCAATGGTAATTATTATTGCCATTGCTCTAATTAATTCAATAAGTAATCTGATAACTGAGTCAATTAGAAACACCTTCTGTTGCAAAACTATGCACTTCTGTCCCTCTTTTACTATAACCAGTAAACGTGCTGTACATTATCCGTTGTCAGCAGCAGTGGTACTTAAGAGGTACCCTTAAAAAAAAAAAAAGAGGCAGCCTTTGATCCAAAAGAGCAGAACCATTAAACTCACAAAATGCTGGCTGTTGGTTGTAAATAGACAAATAGAAAACTTAGTCAAATAAATGCTGACTCCTAGACAGACCCTCAAAGAAAGAGCAAGCTTGTTTTCTAACAAGCTTCACTTTTGCTTTGATCTGACAGGATACATGAAAACAGTGGTTAACTGAGGCTGTGCTTTATTTAAATTTAGATATATACTAAATTTAATAAGTTCTTCTCTTAGAATATTCCTCACTGGTATCTTGGTCTATGCAAGTTAATAAATTTTAAGATACTCTTACTCCCTGGCATAATCACTAGGGTTGCCATAGAGGCGAGAAGAAATATATTCAAGAGAATAGGTGAATCTTTGAAACCATGACAGTGTTAAATTGAAAAGAGGGACAAAATGACAGGAATTGTTGTTGTTTTGCTTTTTAGCACTTACTCTGTGCCAGACTTATTCCAGGTACTTTACCTGCATTAATATCTAACTTCTTCCTTAAAAGAAGCCTATACAAGCACTAATGAAGCACATGAATATCCTCTAGATTTTTAAAATATTTCCTCCCCTTACTATTAGGGTTTTTATTTGTTTTACCTCATTTATCATGTAGACTTGTATATGTACATTTGTATAATTAAGATCGTTCAACACATGAAAATAAAGATAGATAACCCTTCAGAAACAGTAACAGGAGTAATGGTTCCCTGAAGGAACAGGAAGCGAGGGTGAGCAAGGGGGAAGGGGGAGCAGCTGATAGCACTGATGACTGTATAACCCCACTTGAGGGGAGAAAAAACAGAATTGTATATAAATTGATATATTGGATGGTGTCAGATATAGGGGGAAAATAATAATAAGTTTTCCTTGGGGGAAGGGGGAAGGGAGGGGATAAAGGGGAGTTGATATCAAGGAGTTCAAGAAGAAAGAAAATTATTTTGAAACTCACTGTGGTAGTAATTGTACAATACTGCTTGATGTGATTGAAATATGGGATGTTATGATATCTGTAAGAGCTCCCAAAAAATGATTTTTAAAAAGAAGAAGAAGAAGCCTAAACAGTTCAACTGGTGTCATCGACATTTTAAAGCTGAGGAATGTGAACATAAGGAAGGGCAAGGCACTCTCCCAAGGTAAAGTTGCTCAGGGAGAAGGGCTGAGTGCTAAGGGGGTCAGGAAACGACTTACTGTGGTGTTGCTGTCATGGAGGAGTTCCCATGTCTGTGTTTCTGTCGCAAATAAAGAAGAGAAAGAGTCAATAGTAGAGTGACGAATATTTTCTTCTAGCTAGGTTAAAATCAGTAAATAAATAACAAATATCTTAAGATAACTGTAACCTATTTGAAATGAATTCCTTTTGAAGAAGACCAGATATGCAGACCACATCCACACCATACCTCTCACAGTGATTAGCTGGGAGATCAAACAAAATGTACTGAACAGATGGGCTTTCGGATGACCACATTTTCCATCTACAGTGAACCCTTCTCCTTCTTTTTGAAGAAAGAGATTTCTGTCAGGTAAGTAAGCCAATTTGTGAAAGAATAAAATAAATTATTTTTAATCCCCAGAGTGCTGATGGCTACAAAAATCCAACACAGACAACACTTTGGCATTATGCTCCGATTAGACTATGAGAAAAAGCTGAAGTTCATTGGAAGAAGTTCAATATGTTCTCTTTAGAAGGGAGACAGAAAGTTTTATTGCCTAAAAAATGAAAGTAATAAAAATAATTATAGCAACAATCTGCCATGAGCGAGACATTGTGCTATACTTCTTAAGAGAACTACCTCATTCAATATTCAAAACAATGCATTGGTCCCATTACATGAGCTAAGAGGCTGAGAATAAGGGAAGATAAGTGGCTAACTCAAGGCCACACAGCTTAGTGAGCGATTAAAAATCATTCCAATTTAGGACCACATGATGCTGATAACTCTACAGGCTGTGACAAGTTTTACATCAGTGGCACACGATGTCACTAATACTAGGAAGGAAGCTACACTGCTCAGCTCTAACTCACTGTTTCTCTTTTCATTCACTCGCCTGTTCTTTACCTGCTTTGCCTTCCAATAAATGCATACTAACCCCTTCCTCCATGCCAGAGACGGACATAGACTCTAACTTCATGGATAATGCATTCCAAAATGAAAAGCTAACTGTTGCCCAGTGAACACCGACTTGTGATCACCCCGTGTGAATCAGAGGAAACTGTGCTCTGTATGGTTCTCAATGACCAGTTTCCCAGAAGTAAACTGCTAGGCTTTTCTTTGAAAGATTCTCTGGTTGACTTGAACGTTGAACCTTTTGGTAGTAACCAAGAGTGCTGTTTGCACGCCAGGGACTCCGTTCCAAAAATAAATGGGATGAAAAACCCGGGGTGTCAACTGTGGAGAATGGAAGCATGCGCGCTCATTTGTCTGCTGGCGTCGGAAACTCTGAAACCACGTAAATGTCATAGTCACCCTCTAAACCTTTCAGCTTGGACGAAAGTCTAAACCCTTTGACATGTATGAAAAGCGTGACTAAGTAGTGGTTTTACAGGCGGTCTTAATATTACAAAAGCTTGGTCTCTGCCTAAAATTATTGTTATTTTTATATAAGATTTTCTTCCATTTAGCTTTGCTCTTATTTCCCATAGGTAATTTTAAGCATAAAAACCACATTGGTGGAACTATTTATTAAACATGAAACCTCTCAAATAGTTTCAAATCCACTTTCTGTTCCCTGTAATTATTTTCCTTGGTCACAATGGGAAGATTGGCTTTTTTAAGAACTACATTTTGTGGTGAAAATGATCAGTAAAATAAATCACTGTTGGATTATCACAGCTTATTTTCACATTGATTTGGTCATCCAGCAAGATGGGGAGGGAGTTGTGCAATGATTTCTTCAAGAACTCAGGACTTGGCTAAGGTGGAGGTGGTTGTGTTGGGGTGGGAATATGAAGGTCTTAAAAACATAGATACAATTAATAATTAGCATTTACCTAGCACTTACTATGTGCCAGAAGTAATACTTCACATTTTACATGCATAAATACCCCATCCTCCAAAAAGCTCACTACCATCAAGTTGATTCCAACTCATAGCAACCCTGCAGGACAGAGTAGAACCAACTGCCCCTGTAGGGTTTCCAAGACTGTAATCCTTTACGGGACTAGAAAGCTTCATCTTTGTTCAGAAGAGCAGTTGGTAGGTTTGAACCTCTGCCTTTGCAGTTAGCAGCCCACTGCCTAACCCATTTCACCATCAGGACTCCTTTCACAGGGTTTGAAAAGCTGTGAACATTTGTGGGAACAGATAGCATCATCTTTCTCCCAGGGAGCAGCTGGTGGTTTTTGAACTGCCAACCTTGTGGCCAGTAGTCCAATACTTACCCAAGAACATAACAATATAAAGTCTCATTTCATCTGAACTACAGTGGACCAAAAATCCAAACCAATGCCATCAAATCAACTCTGATTACTAATAACCTCATTTACACAACAAAAGACCAATCTGCGGAAAATGTAGGAGAGACCCAGATTCAGGCAGAAAATATTTGAGATAAACTTTCTGATCATTATGACCATAGGTCTACTCTTTCTGCTGCCCTATTTTCTCTTCCATAAAAATCCTTGCTGAATTGTATGAAGAATTTAGCGGCTCCTTCTCACATAGAAATCTAACAAAGCTAATAGGTGTGATTTCAGTTTAAAAGAATTGTAGAAATCACCTAATCTAACCTAGTAGCCCCAAAGGCTGGTCTGTGGACTGAGGCCAATTCATAATGAAGCACCATCAATCCAGGACTTATTCAGAAAAATGACAATAATGTAAAGACTTCTCCATTAGACTAAATTTATTTAATTTTTTAAAACCTATGCTTTTAAATGGAATGATGGCAAACTGGATAGCAAAACCAAACTTGTTGACTGTTACTTAATGTGGACCTGTGTGTTACCAAGCAGAACTGCTCCACAGGGTCTCTCTGGCTGTAATCTTTATAGAAGCAGATTGCTGGGCTTTTCTTCCATGGTGCAGCTGAGCAGACTTGAACTGCCAACCATTTAGTCTTATAGTCAAGCACAAGCTAAATAAACTTAAAGCTCACTGGCAGTGAGTCAGTTCTGACTCACAGCAATCCTATGTTGTTGTTGTTAGGTGCCATTGCAATTTCCTGGAAGCCAGAGTGACCCTAGGGACAACAGGACAAAACACTGTAGGGTCCGGCACCACCCTTGCGATTGTTCGGATGCCTGAGCCCACCTTTGCAGCCACGGTGTCAATCGATCTTCTTGAGGACCTTCTGTTTTGATGCCCCTCCACGTTACCAAACAAGGTGTTCCTCTCCGGGCACTGGTCTCTCCTGACAATACGGCCAAAGTATGTCTGACAAAATCTGACCATCCTTTCCTATAAGGAGCGCTCCGGCCTTACTTTTTCCAATGAAGATCAGCTTGTCCTTTCAGGAGTCCATGGTACTCCCAATATTCTTCTCCAGTACCACACTTCAACTGCATCAGTTCTTCTTCAGTCTTCCTGATTCAATATCCATCTTTCACAAGCATATGAGGTGATAGAAAACACCCTGGCTTAAATCAGTCACACCTTAAACCTCAAAGTAACGCCTTTGCTTTTCAATACTCTAAATAGGTCTTGTGCAGCAGATTTACCTAACATCATGTGTCCGTTGATAGTTTGACTGCTACTTCCATGAGCATTGATTGCGGATCCAAGCAAGATGAAATCCTTGACAACTTCAACCTTTTGTCATGATGTTACCTGTGGTCCAGCTGTGAGAATTTTAGCCTTCTTCATATTGAGCTGTAATCCATACTGAAGGCTGCAATCCTGGATCTTCATCAGCAAGCACTCACGTCCTTCTCACTTTCAGTACGCAAGGGTGCTGAAACCATAGCTCAGGTTTCCTATTCCCAGCACAGATTTGTTCCCACCATCCCATTCATGGTAAACACTATGCGGATAGCATCTCTCCCTCCGGTGCACGGACACATATTTGTACATGCCTCCACCCTCCTACTGTTTTCTCTTCTCATCGTCAGAACCCTCTAAACTCAGAAACCAGCTCAAGATTTCCTCTTGAACCCTGTATGCAATTACCTGAGCCATGACCTTTGCCAGTGGACATCCCTGGAATGATTGTGGTGAGGTCCCGAGGAGGAGTCCAAGCAGTGGCAACCTTTGCTAATGTCAGAAACCAACATAAGGATGAGTCTTCTCTGAGAGCACAGAGCTTGTTTCAGGGGATCATAAGGGCAACAGATGAAAACATTAGACATAACATATGAATAGAAACACATCATCAACTTCTGGATTGGCTCAGACTTCCGTAGCGGGACCATATCACATGCATGAAATGGTTAACAGAGGTAAGTTACGACCATAATTAGCACTCTAAGTGTTCACCATAACATTCATAGCTACACTAACGGCCACACTCTGTCAAGTACTTTTAATAAAGCTTTATCTCATTTATAGGGACTCAGCGATTGAGAGGGTAGGTATTATTCTCCTCACTTTTTCACTGAGGAGGAAGTCAGACTTTAATTTCCCCAAGTTATTCAGGTAGTAAGTGGTAGAATTGGATTCGAATACAGTGCAACCTGGCCATAAAGTACATGTTCCGTAAGTCTTACATTTTACACCTGTGCACACACACCAGGTCCAGTGCTTCGCAATTCCGGCAGCCCGTGAGGGTCATCAGGGGTAAATTAAAAAGTAACCAAATTCACTGCCCTCATGTCAATTCCAACTCACACGTTAGAACTGTCCTACTGGGTGTCTAGACTGTGAGTCTTTGCGGGCGCAGAAAGCTGCATCTTTCCCTCTCACGTTGGTGGAATGAACCACCAACTTTATGGTTAGCAACCTGATGTTTAACCCACTCGATCATAGGGATCAGCTTTATGAAATACAACTCTACCCCCAGAAATGCTTCTTTTTCTAAAAAATCAAAATAAAGGTAGTTGCCAAAATTTTGCCAGGTGATTTAAACAAGCAATTAGGGCCTGCAACCCTTGATTGCGGTCTTCCCTCTCATTCCAGAGATTCTACAAGAGGGCTTCAAAGAGGACATGGGAACGCAGAAGGAAAAACAAATTCTGATTTTTGTCATGAACTTTCTGATGCTTCCAGTGGGCTTCCAAACAGACAGAGGTTAATAAACACAACTATACATCATTAGTTTAGGTCTTGGGGACCTACCCCAAAGGGCTATAATTATAGCAGAGATCAGAGGGGACCCGTTGTTATATTCAGTGTGCTCCCCAGATGAATATTATACATGAAGAAGGGACCTGCAGACAGAGCACTCACCTGGTGTGATAACCAGCTGCAGGATCCATTTTTCATCATTCATTAGGCCTGGGAATTCTACCCGGCAGCAGTAGATCCCATTGTCCTCTAGAGCCACCTTCTCAATGGTCAGGGACACATCTCCTTTGCGCACATATCCCTTCAGTTGGTATCGGCTAGATTTCTGGTAGGTCACATGGCTTCCATCCGTGCTGAGCACTGTTTGGCTGCATTTTGACAGTGGACAGGGTCCACGGCCCCAGCAAACAGGCACGGAACTGAAGTGGGAGCTTGCAGTGTAGTTGCAGGGCAAAAGGGCATTCTGACCCACCTCGGCGGTGTATATTCCTTCCAAAGATCCTGGGTAAAGAGCAGACGCGCAACCGCCAGGCAGTGAGTGAGGGGGGGTCCATTTCAGGAGAAGGGGGAAATGCCTCTACAAAAAGAAGAAACCACGCGCTGTCTTTCGTACAGTGTGATTCCCTGTGGAAATGCTACTCGGACTCCAAAGAGGCCTCATTAAAATGCAGGTTGTTCAACTCCACCCCAGGAGTTTCTGATGCAATTGGTTTTGTGTGCAGCCTGAGAAGTTGCATTTCTAACAAGTTCTCAGTCATAGCTACTGGTGCTGTTGGTCCCAGGACCACACTTTAAGAACAGCAAAGAAAACTGGTCGCATCTCGTATACACCAGGGGCAAGGACTGAAACAGGCAGAGTATCAGAAAGGGCCTCCCGTCTGCTCACGAAGGAGGGGCAGCTCTCCCCCTGCACCCGCTCCGCAGCAGGTGCACCGTGAGTAAAACGTTTGGCTGAATGAAAAGTCTGTATATCTGGAAGCCTCGGGCTGTTTTGAGGTTTACCATCACAGGCATATCTTGTTTTATCTCATTTCTTTTTTTATGCCTCACAGGCATTTCCTAATTTACAAACTGGAGGTTTGTGGTAACTCTGCCCTGAACAAGTCTATCGGCATCATTTTCCCAACAGCACATGCTCACTTCATGACCCCGTGTCGCGTTTGGGTAATTCTCGTAGTATTCTAAAGCTTTTTGTACTGCTATTGTACATTAGAGTATAAACATAGCTTTTATTTGCACCAGAAAACAAAAGCACTCATGTGACTTGCTTTATTGCAAAATTCACTTTATTACAGTGGAATATATTCACCCACTCCCTCGTCGGTGGACATTTACACTGCTTCCAAACTTTTGCCATTAAAAATAATGTTATGCTAGCTGTCCTGCTATCTTGCACCTGCGTCATGTGATTGTCCAGTTAGAAACACCCCTGCCCAGACTTACTTGCAAGCAGCAGCAGCAGGACACAGGAGAGAAGTGACAGCATGAGGAGCACAGAAGAAAGGTCAAGGACAGCTCTGTTGACGGGCAGCTCTAATTCTCCGGTTGGGCTCGGCACTTTTTCAACTGTCTCTGAACTCCACAAAACCACACACAAGGTTGCAACCTTCTTTGAGGGCCAGCCCACACATGATGCTAACTGTCTACTGTTAACTCCTATATTAACGCTGCCAAGACCACAGCCGCTTCAAAGGAAACCCCAGTTAGTTGTCATGCATCACCACACACATCCTGTAGAAACTTCTGATAGAGCTAACAAAGAGGAAGAAATACTTCAGAAAGAAAAAAAAAACATTACTTGATAAGAAGAGAGAACCCTTTAATATCTCACATGGAATAATTATCTATCTGAAATGGGCCAAGCATGAGTCAGAATGGGTCATGTATTCATCAGCCAAGTCAGTCCATCCGACAGACAAGTGGCCATGAGTTATGGAACACAGATGTCAAAGGAGCCCTAGTGACACAATGGTTAAGTAGTTAGATAAGTGGTTCAAACCTACCAGTCATTCCATGGGAGAAAGATGTGGGTGTCTGTCCACTAAGATTCCAGCCTTAGGAACCTTACAGGACACATCTACTCTATCCTATAGGGTCATTATGAGACCAAATTGACATGAAGGCAAGAGGTGTGTTTGTTTTGTTTACCACTTGTCAAGCACTACACTAGGAGCTGGACAATATAGCCATTCCTAATCCTAACATTATGTTCCCTTTCCATTCCAATCAGGAGCCTGAATTCTTATGTATTTTAACACACACGAAACTGTATCATGTAGCTCTACTTGAGTCACAGTTTCCCCATTAAATAAAGGAGAAAACTGTGTAATTTATGTACACTTCTTACTCAAATATCCTTTCTTGGACCTGGCGTTCCAAACGCTTTGATTTAGGACAGACACATTTCTCTTTGGAATGTTTCTCTTCCCGTACTTTGGGTGGAATTGAAGGGACCTCAACACCCTACTTTACATCATACAAAAGACGGGCCCCTCTTCTTCTACCATGGTTCAGCCCCGATAAAGTGACTTTTGTCTGGGTATCTTAAAATCCAGATTTTCTTGAAACTCTACCAAGATTTCAACTAAAAAACTCACTGCCGTCAAGTTAATTCCAACTCACAGTGACCCTATAAAACAGATTAGAACTGGTCCTTTGGGTTTCCACAACTTAAATTATTATGGGAGCTGACAGGCTCGTCTTTCTCCTGAGGAGAAACTGATGGACTTCAGCCATGACCTTGTGGCTAGTAGTTCAGTATGTAACCCACTACTCCACCAGGGCTCCTCATTCATCAAAGATAGAGAAAATCAAATAACATAATCAGCCAACTTGACCTCATACACATATACAGAACACACCACCCACATGTAGAATAGTTTACATTTTTTTTCAGTGCACAAAGTTCATTCTCCAGAACCGACCACATTTTAAGTCATAAATCCTCAATAAATTAAAATACATTGAAATAATTCGGAACACCTTTGATCATCACACTATAAAACTAAGAATCAAGGACAGAAAAAAGAACAAGGAAAAATAAATATGTAGAAACTAAGTAAGACCTTATTTTAAAACTATTGGGTAGTAGAAATAACTAAAAATGAAAAGTTTAAATTCTTAGAATCAAATGAGAATAAACAGCACACCAAAACCTTTGGGGCACAAGACCAGTGTTTAAAGGCGCATTTAGAGCAATAAACGTACCCATCAAAAGAGAAGGATTGGGGTTGAGGAGAAGGTGAGAGGATTTGTGGAGCAAACAATGAGTGCAGGATGGGGGAGGGAGCATTATAACTGATTTGATGATGCATATACAACTCTTTTTAAAAGCAATTTAATTATGGTAGTGTAGGATATATGAGTATAAGAAAACTACTAAAATGAAAAAAGAAACCAAACTTCATCAGTGTGGCCATGGTGAAAGAGGAAGAGTTTTTGCTTAGGGAACATTGAGTTTATGTTAATGTTTGCAAAATAGTTTGGAAAAGGATTATCATAATGGTTGTGCAACCAAGAGTATAGTCAATGTCACCGAATTATACATGTAGAAGTTGTTGAATTGGAGAATGTTTTGTTGTGTATTTTTGCCACAATTTTTAGAAATTACATGAATAACAATGAGTACCAGGAAGAAGAAAACAGTTCTAGAATGGATTGTGATGATGCTTATTCAACTCCTCTAGATATGATTGAATTACGACATGTGGATGAAGTGCCAATGAAACTGTTAAAAAAGGGGTGTGTGTGTCAAATTAATAGTTTAACCCTCAAACAAATAAAAAAGAAACAGAATTTCATTGGCATTGAAACAAAGACTATTTATTTGGAATATAAAGATTAGTCTCTCCACTGTATTTTCATTTGCAAAATTGAAAACTACCTTCTCGGCCTTTGGCAAAGAATTGATATTCTATATTGAATTCACGGTCTTCAATTTGGTGAATGTATCAAAGCTAAAAATTGTATTACATGACAATAGACCAAATCCCTGCCCCTCTCCCTTTTAAAGATGAGACTTAGTATATTTTCAGTTATTGGAACATCCAGTGCATCTGGAATTTCTATGTTGAAGTGATTTCATCTCATAAAAGATTCAGTTACCGGCTTCATACTGTCATTCACACTACCTAAGCATACTGCCATGGTGCACACGTGGTAGAAAAACCAGTATTCATGCGTGTCTGGACAGAATTAGACATTTGTATACTTTTTTGTATACTCTGTGTAACATTTCTGAGCTTTGATTTTGTTTTAAAAATGGGGAGAAATGCAGTGATAAAACCAAGAGGTTTGTTATTGATGCTTAAGGATCCTCTGACTCTCACTGGCCAATGGACATACATGAATAAATTCATTTTGACTCAGGGATAAATTTTGAAAATCCAATCCCTGTTTTAGTGTTTTCCGTGTGAAAGTGCCAATATCATGCATGGAATGAGAGAACCAGGAGACAGGAAGTGCTGTTCAGTTGTGCT